AACTCTTATAAAGGAAAACATTTCATTGGGGCTTGCTTACAGTTCAGAGGTTCATTATTGTCATGGCAGAAAACATGGTGCCATGCAAGTAGACATGGTGCTGGAGATGGAGCTGAGAGTTCTACATCAGGAAGGATATGTAGACAGCAGGCAGAAAGAGCTACTGAGCTTGGCTTGAGCATTTGAAATCCCAAGGACCACTTCCCAGAGACACATTTCTTCCAACAAAGCCAAACCCACCACAACATGGTCACACTTGCTAATCCCTTTAAGTAGTGTCACTTCCTAATGACTAAACATTCAAATATATGAGCCTATGGAGGCCATTTTTATTCAAATGACCACACTCAGTGTACTTTACACATGTGAGTGTAGGTGCTTGTACCAGTATGTGTGTGTATATGTGTGCATGTAGAGACCTATGTCAGTGGCAGGTTTCCTTTTCACCCAATCTGCCTTCTTTTTTGAGATAGGCATTCATAATGAACCTAAAGCTCATTGATTTGGCTAAGCTACCAGGCCAATGAGGTTCAGGTGTATGTGTGTGTGTGTGTGTGTGTGTGTGTGTGTGTGTGCTATATATTATATTTGTAATAATTAGAGAAAAAGAAGCCACAAATTTGAATGAGTGCAAAAGGTAGAGTATGTGGGAGAAAGGTTACAGGCAGAAAGGGAAGAGGGAAAATAGTGTACTTGGATTAGGATCTCAAAAGATTAAATTTCAGAAGAGTAGGTCATGAAACCTGGTAAAAGTGGTTAAGAGAGCTTGCTGCTTTCTTATAGAAAGTCCAAGTTCTCTAGCCAGAACCCACATAGTGGCTCAAAACCACTTGTAACTCTAGTTCTAAGGGGCTTGATACTGTGTTATGGATTCTGAAGGTTCCTATATGCACATGGTGCACATAAACTCAAGCAGGCACACACACATAAATAAAGCACACACACACACACACACACACATAGATAGATATTTAATGTTTTAAAGACTGAAGATATGGCTCAGTTAGTGGAATACTTGCTTAGCATGCATAAAACCCTGTATTCAATTTTCCACCTCTAATTTTAAAAACCGAAACAAGTAAAAAAAAAAAACCTGCATGTTGATGGACACCTACAGTCTAGCACTTGGGAGGTAGAAACAAAACCATTAGTGAATACGAGACCTGGCAATACCATACAAAAATGATATACTAGAACTTGTGGGAGGCTCTCTTTTCAATTTATGGTATGGAGTTATACAAGTATAAATTAAAAGTGGATATAAAATGGTTGTATTATATAAGACATGAAATTTTGAAGCATGTGACAAGGACAGAAAAGATATTTTATTTATTACAAGAAAACTCTTGCTTAAGATTCAGAGAGTCACAAGTACTTAAAATACATGAACTTCTGATTGCCATGAACCAGTCCAGGACTCTCTTAGGACCTGGCCATATGTTATTGTCCCTCTTGCTGAAATTCTTCTCCTCATTCTGGATAGTCAACTACAGTGTATTACACAGTTCCTCTCAAATGCCTTTACTAGTTTCCTTTCCATCGGAATCATTCTGTAACTGAAGCCATCCTTTTTCAGGATTTTTTTATTTTTAAATTTATATGTTTCTCACAATTTCATGAATATGTGTACTTTGCCCAAAATACTACCCTTTTTGAGAAATAGTTTCTATAAATAACTCAGTTTGGCTTGGCACTTACTATGTAGTACAGCCTGGCCTTGGACAATAAGTAATCCTCCTGCCTCAGCTTTGGCAAGCTAGGATTGCAGGCATGTGCCAAAACACTAGTGCTAGTGCTTTTTTGGTGGATTTGTGGAAAGAGGGGGTCTCAGACTGATGGAGGAAGGACATTGGTTAATTATAATAAAGAAACTGCCTTGGACCATTTTATTGGTTAGAACATAGGTGAGTGGAGTAAACAGAAGAGAATGCTGGGAAAAAGAAGCTTAGTCAAGGAGTCTCCATGGTTCTCCCACTCCAGACAGATGCAGGTTAAGATCCTCCCTGGTAAGACACCTCGTGGGCTACACAGAATATTAGAAATGGGTTAGAACAATATGTAATAGCTAACCAATAAGAGGCTGGAACTAGCCGGGCCAGGCAGTGTTTAAAAAAATACAGTTTCCGTGTAATTATTTTGGGGCATAAGCTAGCCATGCAGGCGGCCGGGTGCCGGGAACGCAGCCCTGCCGCTTCTAATGCCACACTCAGACTGTAGATAAAGCTCTCTTAAAACTCACCACCTAAGCTAAGGTGACCTCTTCCTCTCTCCCTCCCCCTCCTTTCATTCAGTACCTCACTCTGTAACCCTGGCTGTCCTGAAATTTGCTGTGCACAGCAGGCTGACCTATCATGGCGATCCTTACCTGCCCCTGTCTCCTGAGTGCTGCCAGACGTGGCACTGCCGACCTGTAACCCCAGCATGAGGATGTAGGTGTATCAAGAACTCAAGGTCATTTTCAGCTAGTCAGCAAGTTCAAGGAGATCTTAGGAGTCCACCCAGAATTTTGTATTCATTAGCTAAGATTCTATCGCTTAAGCTATGCATATCCTCATTTTCTCTTATGGAACTTAAACTATTTTTTCCATTAAATTTGTATTTCTTTTTGGGGTGGGGTGTGTGCACTGAGGCATACATGTGGAGGCCAGAGGACAACTTGATGAGTCGGCTCTCTCTTCCACCGCACGAGTCCTTAGGATGTGTTTAGTCATTGAACAGTCTTTCTGCCCCTCTTATGGACTTTCAAAAACTGCCATGTGTCAGAACCTGTCCTAGTTTCATTTCCGTTGCTATGATAAAATATCCTGACCAAAAAAAAAAACAACTTAAGAGAGAAGGAATTTATTTTAGATTATAATTCCAGCTAGCTACATCATTTCCACAGCCAGAAATGAATGCAAATATCCACCCTTAATAAACCAAGTCAAATGTAATTTCCTCCATGAGAGTACTCCACCCTCAACCCCTTAGCTTACAGAAAGTCCCTTCTCTCTGATACCATAATGCTTTGGATGTTTACACTCCCAGAAACATGATCTAGTACAAAAAGAAAGAGAACTACGCCGTGGGGATTTAGGGTTGGGTGGATTTTTTTTTTTTTACATGAAGCTCAGAAGATAAGTGGGTGAATTCTGTTTATATATATGATAAAAAGGAGCAATGAAAAACCTTGAGAGACTAGTGCATATCAGAGCCAGAGGAGTACCGATGTCCTTACCCAGAATAGCCTAGAAAGCACATTTTCTGGGTCCAAAATCTACACAGCTCAGCCCAGACAGAAGGGTGGGGCCAGCCTTCCCACCAGCCCCATGTCTCAGGGATGAGTCAACGCAAGGCGTCAACTCCAGTATTCAGTGGTTTGGGACAGAAGGATGTAAGTTTTCTTGAGATTGAGAGCAAGACTGAAACTTTCTTACTATTTTTTTTTATAATCCCTGTGCTTGGCCTGAAGTTACAAGTGCACTAATCAGTCCCAGAAGCATCCATATATAATGCCAGAACTTGAAGTACTGAAATAGGAAGTTTGCCAAGAGTACAAGAAATAGTTATGAAAAGGCAAAACACAAATCATTAAATACCTGACCTTAGCCTAAGACCTGACAGTGGAATCCTGACACCTGCAGGCTAAAACCCAAACTCCTTCGCAGAGAAGATATGGTCAGTCTCATGTCCTGTATATGTGCCTTCACATCCTGAAGGCACCCGTGCTAAACTGACAAAATTCTGTTCTCTGATTTGGTGCGTCCATTAGATGCTAACTGGGTTGTCCCCAGTGTCAGAATGTTCTCCCATATTTACTAGGAAAGCAGTGGCATTTCCTCTAGCTTCATCTCCTCAACCACAAATGACTCCACACACTTAATTCCATTCCCCTGCCTTGAGCTCCCAGAGTTCTTTTTTGCTTTTCCAATACAAACATGTATTTGTAGCCGGGCAGTAGTGTCACATGCCTTCAAGCCCAGTACTTGGGATGCAAAGGCAGATGGGTCTCTGTGAGTTCGAGGTCAGCCTGGTCTACAGAGTGAACACCAGGACAGCCAGGGCTACACACAGAGAAACCCTGTCTCCAAAAACCAAAACCAAGCAAAACAAATCCACATCTATTTGTAGAAGTAAAACTCTACTTCTCAAGGTCTCCATCTACCCAACTATTTGGGTGTATTGTTGTTACTTTTGCCATATTGAAGAGCTATTCCAAGCCTTTCATATGCTAACACTGAGTTATGATCTCAGGCACCTATCCACCTATTTGATGGTGCAATAGGACTGAAATGTATATGTTGTTCTGACACTGTTTTTATTTATTTGTTTGTTTTGCACCCCAACTGCAGTTCCGCTCCTTCCTCTCCCCCCAGTCCCTTCCCTCTCCCCTCGCCCCATTGTTAGGAGTCCCACAAATATAACAAGCTACACAACTGTCATATATATGTAGAGGGCTTAGGTCGGTTCCATGCAGGCTCCCTTGTTGCTGGTTCAGTCTCTGTGAGTTCCTATGAGCCCAGGTTAGATATTTCTGTGGATTTTCTTGCGATGCCCTTGACCCCTCTGGTTCCTGTGATCCTTCCTCCCTCTCTTAATAAGAATTCTCCAAGCTCAGTCTAATGTTTGCCTTTGGTTCTCTGCACCTGTTATCATCAGTTACTGGATAAAGGCTCTCTGACCACAGTTGAGGTAGTCACCAATCCGATCCATCCCAGGAGATGGCCAGTTGAGGCTACTGTCCACTGTCACCAGGAGTTTTAGCTGGGGTCAGTAGATTTATGGGAGTTTCCCTTGCATCAGGTTTCCACCTGACCCCCAAAGCTCTGCTCCAGTCATCTCTTTCAGTACTCTCCCCCCTCCCCCCATCCACCCCAACCCAATCCCTCAATGTCCCATCCACACCTGACACAAGTCTACACAGGAGAGCTCTTCCATTTCCCCTTCCCAGGGAGATCCATGTGTTCCCCCCACCATGGGCCCTCCTTGTTACCTAGCCTCTCTGACACCGAGGCTTGTGGCAAAACATGGAATGCTTCACAGATTTGTATGTCATCCTTGCACGAGTACCATGCTAATCTTCTCTGTATCATTCCAATTTTAGTGTATCTGTGGAAGTGAATACTAGAGTTCTGACATTCAAAATGATTTGCTATTATGTTAGGGGGTGGGACCTAGAACCTTCCACATGTTAGGCAAGTGTGCTACAAGCTACACTCTGAAACCCCTGATATTATGAGATGTTTTTTTCTAATGTTGGGGGAAGGTAATAGCACTTATAGATGAGAAGGAATGCATAACTGTTTTAGTTAGATTTTAATTGCTTTGACAAAAATGCATGACCAAAAGCAACTTGTGGATGAAAGGGTTTATTTGGCTTATGTGTCCTGATCATAGTCCACCATAGAGGAAAGCCAAAATAAGGACTCAAACGGAGCAAGAACTGAAGCAGAACGGAGGAGGAACACTGCTTACTGGCTTGCTCAGCTGGCTTTCTCATGCAACTCAAGACCCCCTACCCAGAGCTTGCAGTACCCACCATGGGATGGGCCTCTCCACATCAATCATCAATACCCCCGCAGAGTAGCCTATAGGCAATCTGATCGAGCCATTTTCTCAATCGAGGTTCTTCTTCCCAGATAATTCTAGCTCAGGTCAAAATGACCAAAAAAAAAAAAAAAAAAAAAAAAAAAAAAAAAAAAAAAAAAAAAAAAAAAAAAAAAAAAAAAAAAAAAAAAAAAAACTAACCAGAACAATAATCAGGAACTAGCTGGCTACCCTACAATAGATATTTCAGATGTAACTGGCAAACATTTTGTGATATTTCAGCATAGGAACAGGTCTATTATTTAAAGTGTTCTACCCAGAAGTCTACTTAGTGCTTCGTAGGTCACCAAGCCCCTTCACGAATACTCCATCTTCTAGCAGTGAAAGAGGCAGATAGTGCTTCCTTTAAAGGCTCACCTCATTTCACCGAGTGGAAAACAGAAAAAAAAGGAAAGTGGGTATTCTAACAAGTGCTTGGACAAATGACAGTTTCGTTTTGTTTCAGGAAACACGGTCTTGTGATAGATCCTAGGCAGGCCCTGAGCTCATGATACTCCCATCTCAAGACTCCTGAGTACTGGGTTGCAGGTGTGTGTACCATACCTAGGGTACTTTAAGGTTCAAACACCTGTATTCATGCTGTTGGTTAACCAATCATTCGGATTTGCCTGTTGTGTAGGATTTGAAAGCTTCTTTTCTGTTCCTTAAGTTTGCTTTGTATCTTATGTATGTTTTGTCTTATGTATCCCAGGCTGCCCTCTGACACACTATGTAACCTATAGTGGAGGATGACCTGCTCCTCCTGCCCTCCACACGCACCACTGCCCTGAACCACCACACTTTGTTCATGCTGTAATGGGGATAGACCCAGGTCTCTGTGCATGCTAGGCAAACACGCCATCATTCCTGATATATGCCCACTATAACTTGCAATTACTACATTAGAAAAGTCACAGGTTAATTACAAACTCTGTTCACCCTAGCCAAGTCACTAGTCCTTCCAGTTCCCAGGCACTTTTGAAGCAAGGAGTTGTCGTTAGGGAGCGATAAAATCCTGTCATCTCTTTCTGGTGGATCCGTCCCTACATGAGACTAGGCAGCTAATGCAGCCTCTACTTCTCTTCTCTCAGGCTGAATTACATCTTACTGATGTAATCAGGCTGAATTACATGGTCTCTGTTTGCTGCAAAAAAAAAAATTAGCTCTCCTAATTTTTGTTTGTTTTTCGTTATAAACTGGTTGGCCTAGTAGCTCAGACTGCTCTTCTAATTTTAAGCAGAAACCCTGAGTAGACAAATTCCTCCCTTGGACTGAGAAAATGGTTCAGTCTGTAATGGTCTGCCGGGAAACCATAAGGAACTGAGTTCACATCCCAGACATAAAAGTTGGCATGGCAGTGTGCACCTGCAATCTCAGCACTGAAGAGGCAGATGGGAGGATCCTTGGGGCTTGCTGGCCAACTAAGTCTGCCAGTTGAGTAAGCTCCAGGTTAAGTGAGAAAAACTAAGATGGAGAGTGTTAGAAGAAGTAGATGATACACTGATCTCTGACCTGCAATGCCCCCAACACACGCACACACACACACACACATACACACATACAGAGTTTATAAAATAAAGAAAATGTGGTACATATACCCAGTAGAATTTTTAAATTTATTTTTGAGAATTCTATAGATGAGTACTGTATTTCTGTCATTTTCTCCCTCTTCCTCCTTCCTCCAACCCCTTCTGTGTACCCTACCCCATATTCCTCAATTTTATGGCCTCTTCTTCTTTATTACTGCTACATATATACATAAACATTTATAAATACAAGATGTTCACTTTATTAAGTCTTGCTCATATGTTTAGGGATGACCACTTGTCCCTGGAGAACACTGACTCTCTGTCAACAGACTTAATTGTCTGTAGCTCTTCATATAGGGGTAAGTAAGGGCTTGTGAGATTTCTTCCATCTACACTGGTGTGCCAACTGGTGTTATCATTATTCAGGTCTCGATTAGGCAAGCACTGAGATTTTTATGGGAATAACTTCCCTGACATTTCTAGGAGACAAAATTTTACAGCATACTTCCTGGTCCTCTGAGTCCTTGAATCTTTGTGCCTGCTCTTCTGAGATGGTCTCTAGTCTAGGTGTTGGGGTTCTGTTGTATATGTATCAGTTGGGACACCTCATAATCATCTGTCCTCTGCATTTTGATGAGCTGTGGCTTTCTGTATTGGTCTCTGTTTGCTGCAAAAAGAAACTTCTCTGATGAGGGATTAGAGCTACACTTATCTAGCAACAGCACTGTTTGAACTGCACTTCTGCAGCTAAGCTTGAGAAAGTGGAGGTGTCACGGGGTGGATATATATATATAATCTTGAAATCTGTAATTGTAGGGAGTCCTAAATGATGTATAAGAAGAATCTGCTTACATAAAAATACTGTTATTAAATTTTTCACATTAAAAACCCTCTTCTCTGAAGACCCCTCCTCCCCCTCTTGCTTTTCCCAGTCTCCAAGCATACAAAACTTCCTCTAGACACTTAGGAAAGGCCCTTTGCAGAATGCAGGACTCCTCCCCCATCCCTTTTCCTGGCATCTTAAGGTGATCCCTTTCCCGTAATTATTGGCATTTTTGCAAAATAATTTTGGAAAGCATTCAAGATTCAAAGGACAAAGCAACAATGAAAGCCCAGACTTCTCTTCAAAGAGATAGAGCTGCCCGGCAATCACACCCTCTAGGTAATCACTTACCTATCTTCAGCCGAATGATGAAACCAAATTAAACTGACCCCAAACTAAAGAAGAGTACAAGAGTCCCAAGTTTCTGCTAAAAACCCAGTCGTTTCTCCAGGCCAGGAATGTGGGAGAAGGGAACAGCAAGCAGGCAGATCCAGGAAGTTGGGGTAGGCTGTTTTGAATGGTTAGGGGTAGTAAGCCAGACCGCAGCATTTGCTCAAACTCACTTAGGACCCCGGAGCCTCATTTCTTAGCCCCTTGCTCCTTACCTTTCTTTAGGCAGGCAGTACAAGTCCACAACAATGTCAAAGCTCAGTCTCAAAAATTAGATGGGAAGGGACCTATGGGTCATCTACCTAAATCCCTGACCCTTTTTGTACCGCTAATAATGAGATGCTCGTTATTATCTTTGCCTCCAGCCAGGCATCTTACATAATCTCAGGTGGCTTAGTTGTCTGCTCAGAGTCCTTAAATATATTTTAACTAATTTCTAAAATTTTGTTTGTTTGTTTTTGAGACAGGGTTTCTCTATGTAGCCCAGTCTCTCCTGGAACTCATTTTATAGACTAGGCTGGCCTTGGACTCAGCAACCAGTCTGCTTCTGCTTCCCAAGCGCTGCTGGTATTAAAGGTGTGTGCCACCAGGCCTGGCTGAGCATTTTTATTTAAATTAAAGTAAGTTTCCTATGATTTCTATCCTCTGTGCCTCCAGCTCCTTTGCCTGTCCCCTGGCCTGATTTCCATTCTCACCCAGTCTAACTTAGTTTTCTCTGGCTAGATTCCAATTTGTCATTTATCTGCATGCTTTTAAGCAAGCTTGATCCTCAAGAAATCTGCCTAACTTAGGAATGCACGGCTATGTCCCTCCTACAAATTATATATAATATATATCAAATAACATCCACTTGCACAAACACACATTAAGCACATCATAATTGTCTCACGTAGGGTGACCTGTTTGAGATACAGCCTTATTGTTTAGCCTAGGCTAGCCTAAAACTTTCAGTGATCATCTGCTTCAGTGTCTTGAGTGATGGCTGCCATGGCCAGTTAAAATTTATACTCTCTGTGTGGTCAGTCAAGTGCTGTTATTACCCAACTATTTGTTGGGGGTGGTAATATTTTGTTTGTGCTCTAACAGAGTTTGCCTGAAGATCAGAGTGCAGAGCTAGCCACATTAGTTAGCCATAGAGGCCATGTTGACACACACACAACACCTTTAACGCCAACAGTCAGGAGACAGATTCAGACAGCTCTCTGTGAGTTCAAGGCCACCATGGGCTGTACAAAATTGAATCAGTCTATAAGAGAAACAGAATCGGTGGTGGTGGCTCACACCTTTAATCCCAGCACTAGGGAGGTGGAGACAGGAAGTGATACAGCTGAGCAGAGAGAGTGGAAGGGGACAGGAACTGAAGGCATTTAGCGTGAGGACTTGTAGAGGCAGGATCTTGCTCACTTTAGTCAGAGGATTTCACAGAGGTAAGAACTAGTGGTTGGCTGCTCTGCTTCTCTGGTCTTTCAGCTTTCACCCCCCCCTACTATCTGACTCCAGGTTTTTATTATTAAGACCAGTTAGAATTTGCACTAGAGTTTTGCGTCGTGTATTTGTGACAGGGTTTAGTTATGTATCCCTCGCTGGTATGGAATTTGCTGGGCTGGTAGTGAGTTTGGGGAATGCTCATATCCCAGCCTCCTAAGCACTGGGATTATAGCTATATGCAGACACAGCTGCTGCAAGGGTTTTTATCTTCACATGCCTACCAAACACTGGATAGTATCATTCTAATACCTACCCATATAGAAGACTGAAAGAAAATCCCACTTATCTTTGTTGCCATTACTTAATTAATAG